AAATTTACTTTTTGACTGATTGATAAAGACATAAATATACATACTTATGGAATACTATATGATGTTTTGACAAATGTGTACCTTACATAATGTATAAATCAGGGTAAACATACCTAAGTGCATTTATGAAAGAATTCTATAGGATTTTTTCTTTTTATAATTGGCATAGTAAAAATTGATTCAATAGCACATATACATGTGCTATATTCTTAAGGAATATGATAATTTAATCCATTTTATTAAAGTTTTATTTTTTGTTCACAATGCATTAATTTATGCTTTATATTTTCCACTTTTGAGTACTTGAAAAGTACTTCAAGTATTTTAAAACTATAGGGCTTCTTGGTAAGTAGACATTAAAAACAGCAATTTGCTAAGCTAAACCGTAGTCAATGCCATTTTTGTAGATTAAAAATCAGCAAATATAAGTAACTTTGTATATGCCCATCTAGATCTAAAGAATAATGATATGCTTAATTATTATCTATAAGATATTGAGTATGTACCAAGGACAGTGTCAGTTGTATTTTGGTAAATGTTTAATAACTAGTGTTCTTAAAGTTTATTAGTATAAAATTTTACTTGTTCATTATTAATAAATTTGAATATGTTTTAGATGATCAAAATTTTTACTATTATAAAGTATTTGTAGTGAGAAATTTATAAGTGATAGTAAAATATATAACATCTTTTTAAAAGTCCAATAGACAATTGACACTCACAAAATGCACAAAATGTTCGCTTTATTTCTGAATTTTCTTTGTAGGTGAACTGTGGCAGCAGTAATAAACCAATGTAGTTCCAATATGAATGTTGGTTGATATTGTTATTTAATGTGAAGTGACATAAATGCTTTCTCTGTGAAATCAATAGTTTTGAATACTGAACTAATATTCCTCTGTATTTAGTGGTACTTTCCACTACTTGACACCTATAGACTTGATGCACTTTCAATCTGCATTATTAGCATTTTCTTCACTTGTTTTTAACTCTCAGAAATCAACAAAATAATAAAGCATTTGCCATTTTCAGTGTAAATAATCTTACTATGGCTGAGTTCAAATTATCTATGTAAAACTGGTAAACAGTTGGAAACAATACAGATACAATATAAATATTCTCTAAAACACATAAAAGTAGCAAAGTGCAGTAAAGTCATTGAGAAGGGATGATATGAATTCATTACCTTTGTTCTTAACATAATTTATTTAATTATAAACTTGCAAGATTTTATTTTTAATAATAGTTATATTTAACAACCAGCTTGAAAAATTACTGAATATTTAACGAAAGCCTACCACAAGCCAATAGGATCTAGCACAGCATTGGCTTCAGTGTGCCTTTTTTTTTTTTTTGGTACCAGGGATCAAACTCAGGTCCTTGAGCTTGCAGGGCAGGCAGCGGAACCACTGAGCTAAATCCCCAGCCCTTTCAGTGTGGCTTTTTGTATATAATTTACAATTATTAAAGTCTCACTATAAAAATATCATGAGATACATATATCGTTTCTTTCAGGGTCCCACCACTTGATTTGAGAAGTCTTGTTGGCTCTGATGATGAGGTAATTTTTACTTAATATTTAACATAATAAACTTTGTACTACACTATTATATGTACTTATTCTAAGTATCATTCATTTTATTTTTTAGGATGATTTTTCATATGGTTCTCTTAGTGCAGTGCATACTCATTTTAACCCAACAAAGTCATTTTCTGCCCTTGACTGGGATGCATCATGTCAAATACCATATACTCAACATCATCTAAATGAACTGGTTAGTATATCACTTTATCACTAACTTTTGAAATTATAGTATGAATTATTAGTACTGCATTTAGTCCAGGATTTCACTGTTTAGTCTATGTTTTGCTCAATTTAAATATTTTACATATGAAGATTTCAAATGATAATGGTGGTAAAATAATTTTACTTTGTTTTACATTTTTTTCAGACATAGGAATAGAAGTTTAAAAATTTCTTATACAATTGGTAAAATACAGGAATCTAGGAATTTTAAATGTATGGCAAAACTTCAGATCAGATTTTACTAGTTTTAGTTATAAACATTATTTTTTGGAAATGGACTCAGATTTTATGCTACTAGATAGAATGCTATGGAGTAGATAAATAACTACACTTAATGCAATGTATTTCCTTGGGACATGTGTATATTGGGCTTGATTTTCTTTCTCTAAGTCTTTGTCCTATATCTGATTGTATTCATGTTCTTCTCAGTTTCATTTTGGAAAATTTCATATATAATGCCCTATCTTTTATATTGCTACATTTTTTTCTCTTGAGCTTTGCCTCATCCTTCTTGTCTGGGTTAGACTTGAATATCTTCAACATTTTTCAGTGGTTAGATTGGCTTTATAGGCTCCTTTTGGAATGAATGTCTGTCCTTCTTTGGGTTAATATGTATATACCTTGTATTTGTTTAGTACTTATTTTAAGTTTCTTATACCCAATGGCTCCATTTACTGGCAAACTCCTGCAGTTAGGTTCCAGTTTCCTGCTCAGTGTATGATGGGGGCCTGAGAAAAAACAAACAAACTAAAAGACATATCTAAGAGACAGAAAGTGGGGTGCCAGGATGACCAAAGCTGGTGCAACCAACCAAGGAACTGGCCAGTCCAAGCCACTGATTTTTATTGGTAATCAATTGGGGTAAAGGCAAACTATGTATGAGGATACACAGTTGTGTGCTTTCTATGGAAATTAATGTAAGCAAGTCTTGCAAAGGACAAGACAAAGCATTCTTGAATTAGGAACAGAATAGACAAAATATATGGTTGTAATTAGAACACTGTCCTTCTAGTTAGAAGGTCTTAGTCGTGGGAACAGAATTTGAGTACAAGTTACTCTTACCTTGGCACAAAGGCTTCGGCTGGACTCACATCTATAAAGAAGCCAATTATGGGGTTAACTCTTTACATCCTACTTTGGGGCATAATCAGTATTACAGTCTCCCACATCTATTATATCTCATTCCCATGAAAATAAGGCAGGGAACTATATAATGCCAGACAGTAGACTATTATAGTATTTCAGAAATAGCAACAAATGTTTCTCAACATTAGTGATCTCTAATTCCTATGATTATTTTGGAAGAAATTATTGAAGTGGAGTTCTTTTGGGACAGGAAAACAAAAAACCTACCTAAAGATTTTAAGAAGAAAATAAAGTTTATTTTTCTTTTCTCGAATTCTTTTGGAACAGATTGTCTTCAACTGCAAAACAAAGTATAGGATTACTGCTATTTAGGCCCAAGAGTCCATTCTGAGTAGTTCTGTCTCTTCTGATTGATCTATCATGCTGTAGCAGCTAAGGGTTTTAAATATCACCTCTGTTTAAAATAAAAATTATAATGGTCTGTTTCTTAGGCATAAATACTAAGGTAAATGGTAAATCTGTTAATGTCAATAAGGAAAATTAATAATTATTCTTATTTTTTCAGGTGGACAGCATACTTCTTCTTCTTACGTACTTCTTTTTTCATACTTCTTTTTCAGGAACAAGACATAGTACCTGAAAATTTGCCATCACCAACAGACAAATATAAGCTAAAATATGAACAATATAAAACTGAAATGAAAGAGGGATATAAACAGTACAGTCAGAGAAATGCAGAAAAGACAAAATCAGATAACATACATCAGCAGTCTCCAAGAAAGAAGATAGATAAACAGGTAATTTATGAAGGTTTGTAAAATTTTAATGAAATTTAAGGCAAACAGTTTATGTGTATAGCATTCATTGTTACAGACCAGGGACTGTTTAAAGTATTTTACTGTATGAACTAGTTGATTCTTCAGAACAAACCTAAGGGATTGTCACACCATTTTCAGATGTGAAAACTCCAGCTATATGAACTAGTCCTCTGTTAACAGCTTTTCGCTTGCCTGCAAAGTAGAAATAAGAACGCATCATGTATTTTTTTTTTTTTTTGGTTTCTGAGATCTAACTCAGGTCCTTGCGGTTGCGCAGCAAGCAGCAAAACCAGAGCTAAATCCCCGGCCCCTCGCATCATGTATTTTTTGATGTAGTTGTCTTGAACTTTGTTGGATTACAATCTAAGTTCTAAAGTTGAAAAGGTTTCAGACTTTATAGTGACCTGGTTTATTATAAAATGATTGTCACTTGTTATCACTGGTTATCACTTCCTCTTTGTCTTTTGCCTCATTTTCAGAAAAAATTTCAACCTTTCAAATTGCTGAAATTATTAATTTTTCACTTAATTTTAATTAGATGAACCTTCAACATTTATGGGTATAAAAGCAAATTAAACATAATAAGTTTAATGGCATTTCATGAGCATACAGGACAAGCTAATCTTGATCTTTGGAAAAAAAATGTTTGGAAGTAGTCTATGAAGTCAGATTCTGTCTGAACTTTAGAGGTGGGCCTAGGAAGATTTCATAATAGATTGGCTATAGATTTGAGAGGCAGAGAGGATCAAGACTGATCTTACAGAGATGAATCTGTGGACATTATACTGATTGAAATAAGCCAGGCACAGAAAGACACATTCTCTCTCTCTCATATATATGTATGGTCACTTAATATGTGGCCTCTCATATATATGGTCACTTAATATGTGGTTCTGGAAAACTAATATAAACATCATGCATATAGTTATTATTACTGTATTTTTTACTTGAAATTTGGTAAGAGAGCAAATTTTAAGTGTCTTTGTACCCCTGACACCATGCATGGTTGCTTGGTGTATTAGTTATTTTTCTCTTGTTGCTGAGACAACTAAAGTTGGAGGGGAGGGTTATTTGGCTCACAGTTCATAGAGGTTTCAGTCCTTAATCAAAACTGGCTCAGAGGCTGGGATGGCAAACAAGCATGGCAGAGGAGAAAGGACAGGGCACGCACAAAGGCAACAAAGGCAACAAGAAAGCCTAAACAGTCTCCCTGCCCCTTTTATCTTATTCAGATTACTTAGGGTGGATAGCACTCACACCCTTAATCCTAGTGCCCTTGAGCACTAGGAGCATTGCATCATGAATAATTCCAGCTTCACACATTCTAGATCAAGCCTATGACCACATGAGGCTTTGGGGGGACATCTAGACCCAAACTATAACAGATGGGTTATTTGATTGTGGTAATTATTGCACAATGTAAATCATTCCAAAGCAAATCATCATGTTATACACCTTGAATATATACAATTCATATTTATCAATTAAATATTTTAAAATAAAAAATAATTACGCCTTTTGATTTGAACCATTAACTAATGAGTTAGAGAAAGAACTCGTGAAAGTCTGCTTTGAGGAGGTGAAATTTGATACCTCAGTGGAAAGCCACTGCTTTCCTTTTATAAAATGTTAAAAGCAAGGTGAAATAAAAATCTTTTTGAAAGGTTTTTCAGCCCAAACATAATGCTTATACTTAAACATATCTGTTAATTTGCTTTCTTTGCTTTATATAATGCTAAGCATCATTCTGTTCCTTGCTTAGATAAATTTTTAGGAAAAATAAGTGTATTAGTGGATTGTATTATTTAGCTTTCTTGTTGTTGATGCACAATACTCAACGGCCACAAGTTGAAGGGGGAAAGATTTAATTTGTCCATGGTTTCGGTCCATATCCTCTGGCTCCAAGGCAGAGACATGGCAGAAGATTGTGGCAGAACAAAGCTGATTAGTTCATTGTGGGCCAGGAAGCAAAGCAAGGGAAGAGGGCCAGAGTACAAGGGGCCAGGGATTAGCTGTGGACCCCCAGGCCATTCCTCCATGACTAGCCAGGTACACCCAGAAATGTCTTTGCCCAACTCCCAGGGCGGATCTCAAAGCCAGTCAATTTGAAACTCCACTCTAAGTGCCACATGGGTGAGTAAATACAATTATATTCTTATGAATTGATTTACCAATTGTAAATACTTACTGTTATTTTCATTTTATCTATGAGTGAACTGAGGCACTGAGAGGTCATCTAGCTAGGAAGGGGAAGCTGGATTCAAAGATAGGGATTCTGAACATCAGAGCTTGTACTGTTTAATTCTTATATAAATAATCACTGTGATATCCAGTGGTTATCTAGTCCCTTATTTTGTTAAAAACAAATGTTCTAAATATGTGTATGATGGCCTGTTTATTGCTATCATCTGTAGTGTAGTACACGAAGTGCAGAAGCCAGTGAGGATGACCTTACAACTCTGGATAGGAAAGCCCTCTTACAGAATGGATATGTGGACAGCCCTTGTCATGCACAGAATAGTGCAAGGAAATCAGATGCAGTAAGTCATCAGTTTACTTATTTCATAAACCATTAAAATAATTTGCTTTTTAAGATTTTGTGACTTATAATTGTATAAATAATCACAACAATTAAATTTTGAATGACACGATTATTTATTAATGGGCAAATTGAATATATTTTAAAATAGTTGACTGTGTTTGGGGTATTTTCTGTGGAAAAACTCCCTTGAATCTTTGAGCATTTGTAAACATTGAGCTTAAAATATTCAAGATGTTAATTGACTGCTCTTACATTAGTGAGTTTATTTGGCATCATAGTTTTTCCTCAAAAAGAGGCCTGATATTTTTAAAAATAAGCTACTAACACTACAGAAATTCTGGCCAGTGATGGAAAAAGTCAGCAATAAAGTAAGTTTTATTTAGGATTAATGAAGCAAAGCTTTAGACTTTCAATATTAGCTTTAAATTATATATTTTTCAAAATGAATTAGATTGATGAGAGTTGCTTACACTATTCTGGAATACACAGATAATCATAAAATTTCTCTGGTGTCCTGGAGTAAGGAGGCCATGCTGCTTGAAGGTGCAGTCCACTGACCCCTGGGAACCCAGGTGATTGATATCTTAGACATGCTGCCAAGGTGGATGAATACTATGATGGTGGCTCATAAGCTGTGAAAATTCTGATTTAGATAGCCTTAGTAATAATAAAGCATTATGGAGTTACCTAGTTACATTATCTTTAGCACTGAAGAGAAAATCAGTATATATTTTACTTGCTTGCAATCATGAAGAGTCAGTATGTCCTGAATTGAGAGCAACGTGTAATTAAACTCTGGGCCCGGCTGCCTGATTTTTTCCTATGGTCATCCCAAGTTGTAAATTTGTTACAGTTCTTTTGCTAAAGAATATAGTTTTCTGTGCTTGTCTTTTTTCAGATATTTATGTATAGAAAAAAAGGACTGTTACCAGGGTTATCATAAAAATAGTAAAGCAACTTTATGAGGCAAAAATAGTGTCCCAAATAAGGCTTATTTTGTTGTGTCCTGAATTTTTATTTGAAATGAATGTCACCATACTTAAGGTCCATTGGATATTGTTCTTAGTATAATCCAAAGCTCTCTGGATATTAATGGATTTCTTCTTCTTAAAATTATGTTTAGTGACGAGTTATGTAAATTCATCATAAGTTAAGTTTTACTTTTTTTGCCACAGCAGTGCATATCTCTTTTATTTCCCCATGAAAATGTTTATGTGAGTAAGTTTTCAAGGCAACTGAAATTAGTACTGATTTATTTTTAAAATGTGGGTAGAAATGTCTTTAATTTTTAACTACTGAACTAAAAACTAGAAGCAATGAGCCTGTGTTTCATATTCCTCTCTAGTTCTTTTGTCATTTTTTATGTTGCCAAGTCCTTTGCATCAAATGTGACTTCTGCTTTGAATCTGCCTTATGTTTAGGCAGACCTCTACATCATTGTGCCTGAGGGGATTCCAACCTTTCCTACAGAGTGTACACACTATAAGCTTCATTATTCCAGATGACTTTTTGCATGGGTTCTATGATAATCATTAATTTTTCTTTTTTTGCTTGCTTTTGGATTTTACATTTTTTGGCTGATGTTGATATTTCTGTATGTAATTTTGATACTTCAGTTACTTCAGTTACTGTACTTTATGAATCATTGTTGGATATTGTAAAATATGCTTTTCTTTACCTGAAGGTTGCACAATTTTTCTTTTTATTCACTATTCTAAATGTATTACTGAACAAAATTATTATGTGTCATTAGCTTATAATTTGTCAACAAAATGCAATTATATATTAAATGATAGAAAACTCTATTTTGGGCATATTTGGATGTCTAAGTTATGCATTCTAAATTTCTCTGGATAAAAACTGAATTCACTTTTACACTAAGATGCACAATTCAATTGTAATTCAATTGTAGTCCAACAATTGTAGGCTAAATTGTGCCCAACTTTTCAAGGCTTCTCAGGAATCTTTTTTGTTTTTATTTTTTGATTATGCCTTTATACATTCTTATTTGATGTTTCATGCAATTTTTTAAAATTAAAAAGTACTCTCTGAAAGGTTGCAAAGCCTCGATTTTGAACAATTAACTTACTTGATTTTGTTTATTGGAAAGATCTATGAAAGTGACAAAATTTACATGCTCAGAACAGAACATGCTTTGTTTGGGCTTTTAAATTTTTTAATCTCTGCCATTTGTCCCTCAAAAGAAATATGCTAGGGTTCATAGTTGCATGATAATCTAATTGAGGTTAATAATGATAAATTTTACTATTTAATATGACTAAAAAGTAGTAAAAATACTTTGGGATGATAAATGGGATGAATACATTTTAATCAGACCAAGAATTGAGAAAAAATTGATAAGGTATTGTTAATGCATTATATAAATAAACAAGTTTATCATTATTTAATGATGGGAGTTCTGTTTCATATATTTATATAAGGTTAAATGATTCTAATTAAGTTACAGCCTCTTCTGTGAATAGCTTTAGACTAAACTCTGTTTTTGTCAGTGTTGGTGTTCTTTTTACAGCAGGTAAAGATGCATTTTGTATGGCATATATTGAGGAGAGGAGTAATAATGGCAAAGGATATGATATCTTCTCTTCCTTTATTCTGATTCCATAAAATGTAAGGCAGCTTGTTGGAAATGTTTGATGACTTCTACTGAAATTTAAGTCCATGAAGATATGGTACTTTTAGATTAAATTAAAATTTAAATTTATTAATGATGGATAACAATGTGTATTTAAGAAGGAAATTAGAAAAGTTTAATTCATGTTTTAGGAATTCTGTACTCAATATTCTGCTTTATGGACAATAAAGTTATGTTATTTTTATTTTCTCAGGAAACTGTGGCTGCAGAGAAGAAGAAACAGACTGTTACAGAGCAAATGATGATAGATCACTTGTCTAGGTTAGAGTTAATACCTGGTAATAGTAATCCATTCTAAAAATCTTCACTGTATTTTCTTTTTCACTTACATGCCTGGTTAATAATGCATGGCTAAGTCAGAGTTGAGCTTTTTCTGTTCACTGGAGTCTTAAAGATTTAGTAGTTAGTGTTTTCAGAGCACTTAGACTAATATAAATACCTAACAATTCTATTCATTATATTTATTATTATTGTCTAAATAACTTAATAGGCACTTATTTCATAGTAATTTAATGACTTTGAAAACTATTGCACATCAGTTGAAAGATATTTTTATTTCCTTCTTAAATTACCATAGTTACTTACTAATGGGATACATATATCATTTGTGTACTGTGGACTCTCTGAAATATTAGAATCATTTGGGATCCTATCTGTTCTACATTAATTTCCATATAATATTTGCTCTTTATCACAGCAACTGCAGAAATCTTTGCAAAGATATTAGTTCACTAAAAGAGAATAGCATAGTATCTGGGGAAACTGTGAAGTACTTTGAACTAGTAGTTTATATGTTGTCCCAAGAATGGCAGGTATTTCTGTGTTTCCCTTAGAAAATAATATTCCAAGGTGCTTCTGTGAGTTCATCCCATGGAGCCCTGTGGTGACTTGGATACCATCTGAGAACTGTGAGATTATTCAGAATGTTAAAATCCCTTAGAAAATTGTATAAAGTTTTATCATTTATAATACTAAATATTATAACAACATATAAATGGAAGATTTCAGAAAAGGCTGGGATAATCTAGAAAATCTTTAAGAAAAAAGAAAGATAATCTTAGCTTGGAAAACATTGTTCAGTTAGTAGCAAAGAGACAGATTGACCCTCTCTGGATGCATATTTTTTCAGCCAATTCTTTGAAACAGTTAATTATTTTAATAGTTTTCCATGCATCTCCTATTATCTTATGCACCTTACTTGTTTTCTCTGTACCACTATTTCTTTTCATAAGTAGTGACATCCATATGAGAAAGATGGTGATGTTTCACTTCTTGTTTACAGGACCCATGGGTAACTTCTGTCTTAGTCGAAAAGTACCTCTCTTAGAACATTTTTCTTTTTTCTACTTGACTTCCTGCTGCACACATTTGACTATTTTCTTCCTTCCTTCTCCTTTTGCATGACTTTTGATTCTGCACTGTCCCAGTCTTTAAATGTGGAAGTGCTCAAGGGCTCAATTCCTGGATCTCTTCTATATTTGATTTCTAAATGACATCATCCAATACCACACCCTTAAAAACTCACTGTGTTCGGATGCACCTGAGGATTCATTTTTACATTTTCTACCTCATCATTCATTTGCTATCTTGTCTCATTGTGTCTACATTTGCCTCTTATTGGTTGATTCTCAATCCAGCAGCTAAAGTCAAATTATTAAAAGACAAGCCAAATCAAACCACCTGGTAGTTTACATCATAATTTTGTAAACTATATAATACATAATGGTTATGTGTCACCACAAAACTTAGTAGCTAAAAAAATACAATAATTTTCATATGTCTTTAATCTTTAGGTTATCTGTCCAGACTAGATTTGGTTTGATGGATCTTACTTGTTACTTACATTAATCAATTATATATGAGCAAAAGCGGTGATCTCAGTTCTGAGTTTAGGTCCTGTGTTGTCATTTGCTCTTTTGTGCTTCTGCTGTCTGAGAGAAGAACATTGTATGTCTAGCTCACCAGACTAAAGGAAAAGATGCTTCTGCAAATGCAGCTGGGTGGCACCATCCTAGATCAGCAGATTTCCAAGCAAATCACACTTGTATGAGTTAGTTTGAGTAAGATCAGCAGAGCCACCCAGACATATATAACTGACCAAAGGAAATCAAATGGCTAAGTTCAAAGTCAGCAGTAAGAAAGTACATTGCATCTACAGTGAAGACATGGCAAGGCTGTCAACAGGAGTGCTGAAAAATTGGACCCAATAAATACAGACTATTCAGATCCACTGTTGATCTGCTTACTGTTAGACCTTGGATCCCTCTCCTACTTGTCTCCTTCTTGTCTACTCTGCTTCAGCCATCTAACTTTCTCTTTGCTCTGGAACATACCAGATTCCATGCCTATCCTAGGTACTTTGCATTTATGTCTCCCTATGGTTGCGATACTTTTCCCTCAGAAATTCAGATTACTACTTTCTAACTCTACCTCATATTTTCATTTAGAAGTCACCTAGTGAAGCTATCCTTAGCCACCATGTTAGAATTTATAACCCCTTACTAAAATCTTTATCTTAGTAATTATTCTTTCTTCAGTGGAAATTATCAGTGTGTAATTTGCTTTATGTTCTTATTTATCATGTTAATTATCTGTCTTCCTCTTCAAAATGAGTGCTGTATGAGGGCAGGGCTCTTTCAAAGTTTTGTTCATTGTCACGTTTCTATTGCTTAGCACTGTAGTTGTATACTAAACACTTGTTAAGTGGGAAAATGAATAAGTGATCTGGAAAATAGGACTTAGAGGAAGCAGAGCAGAATTTCCCATTTAGTTATATGACTAGATTATGCTTTGAGAGTCTATATTCCTTCTCTATGCCTTAATTTTTTATTTATTCACTTATTCATATTTTAGTCCATATTTTATTCACTTATTCATATTTTAAATTTATTATTTAAGAGAAAACATATAATTTAGCTCTCTCAGTCTGGGTTATTTAGCTTAGCATGATGGTCTCAAGTTCATTCACTTTGACTCCTTTTTTTTTTTTTTTTTTGGTACCGGGGATCGAACTCGGGACCTTGTGCTTGCAAGGCAGGCGCTGGAACCACTGAGCTAAATCCCCGGCCCCCATTTTGACTCCTTCAAATGACAGAATTTCATTTTTTTGGTGACTGAATAATATCCCATTGTGTATATGCCACGTTTTGCTCATCCATTCATCTTTTGTTGGGTTCTAGGGTATTTAAAGAACTTAGCTATTATAAATTGTGCTATTATAAACATGAATATGTTATATATCACTATAATATGATATTTTAAATTTTTCAGAAACATACTCAGGAGTGGTATAGCTGGGTCAAATGACATTTCTATTTTAGTTTTTGAGAAACTTCCATACTTATTTCTATAGTGATTGAACTAGCTTACAAGTAATGTGGGAGGGTTCCTTTTTCCCCACACTCAGAAATCATTATTTTTTTGTGTTCTGGATGATAGGTATTCTGACTGGGATAAGATGGGATCTCAAAGGTGTTTTGATTTGAATTTCCCTAATGGTTAAAAATGTTGAATTTTTTTCATATATTTATTGCACATTTGTACTTCTCTGAGATGTGTTAGTTCATTTGCCCATTTTTTTTTTTTTTTTTTTTTGGTACCAGGGATCGAACTCGAGTCCTTGCGCTTGCGCAGCAGGCAGTGAAACCACTGAGCTAAATCCCTGGCCCCATTTGCCATTTTTTGACTAGGTGATTTATTTTAATATTTAGTATTAAAACATTTAACTTATAACTTGAGACATAAATAAATAAAATCTACAGGGTAAGGTAAAGATGCCTAAAGCTTTTCCTGAATGTTCCAACAGTTAGATAAATTCATAAATTTCTACCTCTTTGAATTGTTGTTTCACTTTTACAGATTTTGAAGGTTCATGAGTCTGTTTTAAAAATGTTGTTTATTTACTCTTTTAATCAGTCAATTATCAAATTCATTCAGATTTAGAGTTTTGCCAGAAAAATAGAATAAAGCCAGAAAGGAAAAGTTTACAGAGGTGTATAGAAATTTCCATTTTAACAAATCATGATATCGTACTGGGTAGGAAGGGAATGGAGAATATATACTTAGCCTACCTTTCCTACCATTAAAATACTACTACTACCAATAATGACAATCCCAATATGACTCCCATGTTCCTTCGTATTCACCTTGTAGGCTTACTGCAGATCTTTTTGCCTAATGACCTCAAAGACAATTAATTTCTTGGTTCTGCCTATATTTCTCAAATCTATTCCCTCTACAACATCCATTTCTAATACCTCCTTAGTATAGGCTCTGGCTATCTTTTCATAACCTATTTATTTATTTTTTAAATAGCAAAACATTTATTGGTACATTTTAAGCACACATAATGATAACACATTCATTGTAGGGAATTCTAAATGCCACCTGATAGGCTTTCATGCCTCAGTAAATGTATTCAATAAGGTATATAGTAAAAGTGGAATTAGGTGATGCAGGCTCAACTATTGTACCATTCCCTAACACTTATTTGATGACAGATGGTCTTACAAACAGTATGTATGTGTGTCTATACGTATATATTATATATGTTTGTATAATAGTGTGTATATGCTAGTTTATTTAATCTTCGCAACAATTGAGAGAGGTACCATAGTAGTAGTCTTTACAAATGAGAAAACTGTAGCCTAGAGTTGAATGATTAGAGAAAACCACATAGCGAATTTCTTTTCTTTTTTTTTTCTGGTTGCCAAAGGACATTTATGTGGTATTCTAGCTGGTATTTTTCCTTGATTCAGACTAATGAAGGGAATCTTGTGTCCAGAAGGGAAGCCCCAAGATCCCTCAGATATTAGGGGAAGGTATTTGGGGGTTTCATTCACTCAATCTATAACCCTTATGTTGTCCAGGAACTTTCTAGATGCATAGCATAGCCCTGTGAACAAGGGAGACAATAACTACTGGGCCACAGCTTTAGTCAGGAAGGCAGACAATCACCGTAAACTTCACAAGACACAGTCCAGGGCCACTTACATAGCGGGTGGACTCAGAACAGAGGCATGGTCGGGAAGGAGGGGTGGATACGAGGACTTTGGCTGAGGAGACAGTGACAGAATCCTGGAGCTCACATATTTTATGATTCCTCTGGGAGAGGCATGGTCTTAGGGCTTCTCTGGCAGGAAGGTAAAGTCAGATAATGCTATGGGTGGAAGTTTGGCCCCCCTGGAGCAGACATGGAGCCTTCCTTGCACCCTCCCCTTGATCAAGTGGAACATCTAGAGCCTATCAATAATTCTTCTCAACATGGTGCTAGAAATGTGAGTCAGAGCAATGAAGCAAGAAAAAGAAATAAAAGCCATCCAGATAGAAAACTGCCGAAGAGCTGTTGTCACTCTTTAGACAGGATCAAAAGCCTGCAGTATGGCGTGCACTGTCCAGAGAAAGGTCCAGGGCTTGAACAGTTAGCTCATCTGGCACTGTCATTCCCTCATGAAGATGCCAGTTGAACATAAGTGCTTTGTTTCTGGGTGGTGGCTCAGCGCAATTCTCAAAACTTCTCCTACTGACATGTGTTCTAAGCCATATTCACTTGCAAGGTTTTTGGCAGCTGTAGTTTTCCCAAATCTTTCAGGCCCCACAACTGTAATCCTCACAGGCACAGTAGATTTTGCATGGGGTTGGTGGATATATTTTATGAGATTCTTCATGAATTTTTCCTTTGTTTTCTTACTAGATAAAAATAAATATATTGATGGTGGATTACAGGATAAATTGGACTCTGCATTTCCAACTGGCTAAAATATTTCTCTTTCACTTAGGTCCAACACAATAGAATTTCTAAGTTATTTTAATGTATACATACAGCAGTTCCTCCAAGTACATTGAAAATCTTTACAGAGTCCCAATAGCCAAATGAGCTTGTATACTTGTAGGTAAAGGCAAGTATTTTCTGGGCAAGCTGTGCCGATACTGCATCACATGTCTCAAATAAACTCGTGCAATTTTCCACCAGTTTCATATTCAATGTATATTGTACCATGTGGATTTTCTGAGCTCCATGAACAGAAATTATTGGTATCAAAAACTCAAATTCTTATTAATGAGAAAAATCATAGAACCTAATATATCTGGTGGGAAAAAAAGTCATTCATGCACAGCACATAGACACTTCTGGTGATCACTTCAGTGTAACAAATAGGTCTTTTTCAGCCGGCAAGTGGCTAAGTGGTGGCAGCTAACCCTCCTCTGACCCTGTGAGGGCTCGCAGTTCCTCTTGATTTATGGAATTGTTTTCATAATTAAGTGGTACTGACAAAGGAAATACAGCTCTAAAATATGCACTTCTTTTGAAATGTAATCTTGAAATAAGGCATTAGCCAGTTTGCCTTGGTTTCATGCTCAAATGTTACATTTTGAATTATGAAAAATGAAGGAAAAGTCATAATGTGTATCATTTGTAAATTACTCAGATCTGTTTCAAATGTTTCTCTCAGTTCACTTCTCAGGTGCTCAACTGCATCCATTTCCTGCTCATCTACCTCACTCATCTCTTCCTCATCTTTTGTAACTCAATGTCATCATCATCCTCATCAGGCTTTTCCTCATCATCTTCTCTAACACCAACCATAAAGAGACAAATTTCACTTAGGAGGCTGAGGTGGGAAGATTACTGTGAGATTGAGATTAGCCTGGTCTTCACAGCCAGTTCAAGGCAAACCTGAATTATAGTGAGATCCTGAGTGGTCTTGGCCTCAGAGGCTCTGTGTCCAGGTCAAAAGGAAGATGAGGCAGTTGGAGTAGAGTTCAAAGTGGTGTGGGCTTCCAACACCCTTTGCTGCTCCACCCTCCTTCCATGCAACAGAATGTCCTCAAGCTTGACTTTCACTGATACAGCTCTGAGCAGACAGCTGCTGAGGAGAGAGACGAAGCAGCGCTCTGTGGTGATCCCTCTAGAAGGCTCTCTGCTGGACCTAAAGCATGGCTGACTGCCGTGCTTTGGTCAGGAGACCCATAGTGAATTTCTGAAAGAGGCAAAGATTACACTCAGGCAGCCTGGTCTACAATGTGTACTCTCATTTCCCACACTGTGCAGTTCCTTGAGTGCTGTCCTGCCTGCTTCTGTGGCCTTGTGCATACTGTCCTTGTGCTTGTGATACCCCTCCTCTTGAGTGCTAACTTTTCTACTCATCTCTTACGAATCAGTGCAGGCAGGAAAGTAGCTCAGCGGTACAGCACCTGCCTGGCAAGCACAAGGCCCAGAGTTTGATTCCCGGTACTAAAACAAACAAACAAACAAACAAACAAACAAAAACCACAGTGCAAATGTCTTCTGTTCTTAGGTGCTTTTTGTGAACACTTCCCTATATTTTTTCCGTTCAGGACTTACATCCTCTTCTATTGAATTTCTGCTACAGCAATTATCACTTTATTTTCTTATTGTACTTTACCTGTGTTTCCCCTACATTGTCAGAAACAGGCATAGTGTCTCTTTGTTTTAAAGCATAGTAAAGACTCTTAGCTCCCTCAAGAATTTTAATTTATTTTTAGGTAGTACTTAAAGAAACGCTGGACAATTCACTTTTTTATGGCCAATATTTTAATGTTTAAATTTACTCATTTGACAAAAACATTATTTTGAAAACAGTTTACATTTTCATTTGGTATATAATCTTTTCAAATGATTAAAGTATATGAATAATAGAGCAATACATTTTCACATTAATTATCAGACTTGGTATTTTTTTTCTTAGGGCTGTGATCAGTGATCCAGAACAAAATTTGAACATTGAGAAACAAGGAAATGCTCATATCCTTCCAGATTTAAAGAGACCACCTCTTCGACTTAGGAAAAGAACACTACATGAAACAAAGTAAGAAGATTTTAATTATATAAAATGAGGACGCACTGTGTTATAAATGTATTGTTAAAATTTATTTCTATAACTGAAAAGTTTTTGTGTTTGTTTTTGGGTTTTTACTATATAAAGGGCGATCTCATTTTGGGGATTAGAGGCAATATCTTACTCTAACCTTTTTGTCCTTTAAATGTTTTTATTTATAATTTAGAGAGGAAAAGCCACAACCTTTGGGGATAATATATGTGAAAATGTATAATGCAGTAACTGAGATATATTTATCCATGCAATATATATTTATATATATATATATATTAGCTAAATTTTACTGATATTTTAAAATTAGTATTGCTTATAATTTTCTTTTTACATTTAACTTTATAGCTTATATAACCTTTGAGCTGGTGTGGACTTTAACTCCCCTGTGGTGCAGCCTACTTAAATTCCTTCATGAATTCACTGACAGTTGGCATCCAGCCTCAGCTCCAAGAGACAGAAAATCTTCCAGTACCTACAGTAGCTCTTTTATATTTCCAGACTTCTGTAATTGTTTGTATGTTTCTGCCTTTTTTTTTTTGTCTCCTTCTTTTTGGAAGCCTTTGCTTGGATTCATTTAAATATTTGAAGCTATGATATGTTTTTTTTTCTATTGCTGCATCTACAAATTGCCACAAACTTAAATGTTTTAAAACAACATAAAATTTTATTCTCTTACAGTTGTTCTGTAGGTGAGCAGTCTAAAATTAAAGTGTTGGCAGGGCTACATTCATTGTAGAATTTTCAAGAAAGAATCTATTTTCTTCTTGTTTGCAGCTTCTAGAGGTTTCCTTTATTTCTTGGCTCATGGTCCCACCTTTCATTTTAAAAGTCAACTATGATTGTTCAAGATCTCCTCATTTCACTTCCCTTTAACCCTTCTTCTGCTTTCCTCTTATAAACACAGGTGTGACTATATTTAACCTGCCCAGGTAATCCTGGCAATCTTCTCATTTTAATGTCTTCAACTTAGTCACATATGCCATGGAGTCTCTTTTATCATGTAAAGTTAACATATTTACATATTTCAAGCATGTGTTTGAATCTGTGCCCATTATGGCACACATTTTTGTGTGACCATCATTTACCTACCAAACATCTAAGCTTTTATTGAAATAAAGTATACATTCATAAAGTGCATAAATTTTATGTGTACTGCAAAAGAATTGTCACAAATGAACAATACTCAGGTGTCAAACTTCTAGATTAAGGAACAGAACATTACCAGAACCCCGCAAACCCATCCTGTGCTGCCTCAGTTATTATCTGCTTCCTTTGCCATGCCTGGTTACTTTATCCTAACCTCATAGATTAGAACTGCTTGGTCATGAACTTTATATAAGTGAAATGACAAAATTTGGATTCTGTATGTGCCCTCTTTTATTTTCCTGAATGGCATTTATTTATGTAAGTAGTTATTTGATGTACAGAATGATGTTTTGATAAACATATACATAACAAATGTATTTTACTTTTATTCAGTATTGTGTTGGTGAGTTTTATCCATGTGGCTATTTGTAGTATTTTTTCCCTCATTGTCATACAGTCTTTCATTATATAAACATACCACAACTTTTTTATTAACCAATGTTGAAGAATATTTGGCTATTTATGAGTAGTGCTGCAGTGGGTTTACTTGTGCATGGGTTTGAGTGAACATTTGTACTCCTTAAGCTGAGTAAATAGAAGTAGAATTTCTGCACCATTTGTTACTTTAAAAGTTACTGCAAATAGTTTTTCAAATTGGTAATTTACACTAATAGCAGAGTGAATTTTCTAGTTGCAGCGTATTTTTGCCAATGCTTGGAATTTTTTTTCATTTTAATTCTTATGGATGTGTTTTGGTGATTTTAATGTGCATTTCCATGGAGACAAATAGAGTATCTTTCCATATATATGCCATGAAGATATCCTTACCTGAAAGTTGACCAATTTACCAATCTTTTCCTCTATGTTCATGTCCTTTGAATCATCTTTAAAAAGTCTGTGTCTACCAACAGCTGAATCCAGTTGCCTGAAAAATCCTAGGAGAGCATTTCTTAGGATTAATGAATTTGTAGATTTTACCCTCTCTTTCATTCTCCCAGAAGAGGAGGAAAGAACTGGGCTTCACACTTAGAAGCAGGAATTGGCATGTGTAGTTTAGCCTTTGCTATCTCATTTTCCTTGGGAAGCAGCCTGCAGAAGCACACATTTTACCCTCTGCACTAAATTTCTGCAAGGTACTTCTTCAGTAAAAATATGTAGATTAATTTATTTAATTCTAATGTGAAAAACTTAGCTTATTGTTGCTTCATACTTAAGTCATGGTTTCCAACAGCTTTATCAATAATAAATTGCATATCAGATATTTAATATGCTTGATTTTTCTTTATGTATTGGTCCAGAAATTGGATAGAGCCAAGTATTTGTGCTGTTTATTAGGAACTTAAAACCTCATATAGCACTGTGACTTTCATAATGTCAATATATATTTACTTCTCTCTTTTCAAGACTCAAGGTTCATTGATGCTATCACTATTAAAGTTCTGTTCATGAGAAGCAATATAATATAATGGTTATGAGGAAAGTTTTTTTAGATCTGCAATTTACTAGTCAAATGACCTTGAGCAATTTACTTAACCTATCTCTGACTCTGTAAAATTTATTATTAAAATGGGAACAATAATACTTATCACAAAGAGTTATTGCAAGCATTAGGTAAGCCAATACACATTAAAGTGACTTAACAATGACTAGTGTTTAGAAAATCTTCAATAAATGGTAGATGTTACTGTTGTTATTATTTTTTTCAACACTTAGAATTGTTCCAGGCACAAAATGGGTATTTGATAAGTACATCATACCAACGGATTAAATTGAATTGAGATAACGAAGCTTTCACAGCTCCATTGTGGTCATGAACTGCCATTTGGTTAGAAGTCTATTGTTTCCTATCCCCTGATTCCTTTTATAAAGACATGGATTTATAGAGGGGTAGCTTTTCAAGATCTCAATGACCAGCACACTTAGGTACTATTTACGTTATTGTTATTTCATTATACTTGCAGGTTTGTGGAAAGGATATCATAAAATTATTGGGGAAGGGAAGTAACAATACATCATTGAGTCTATAGATTGCTTAAAATGAAGGATGTCATTGTAGGGTGCCAAAATGTGTGCATTTGAGTTTTACATTATATATATATTTTTCAAAAGAAAAATTTTATGTGTACTTAAAAACAATATTTCAGTGTAATACATGTAGATAATAATAAAGAAAATATTTTTCTTTATTCTTTTTTCTATGAAAAAATAAAGCAACATTTCATAACTAATTAAAGATATACAATTAATTGCATTATATTTTTAAACAGTGTTGGGGCTCACAGACTTTGTGAGCTCATTCAGTGCTGTCTGATTTAAGATAATATAACTGGAACACATATTTCAAGGCTTGAACTTCACCTGTCACTCTTTCCTACTATTCTTTTATTTTGTTAAGAAGTACTTCCAGCTATCCATAACTGAAAACCTGACTGATAGTGGCTAAATGAGTCAGACTTATTTTTCTTGCATAACCAGGTACTTGGTTGGTTTTAGTTCAGAGGTATAGTTCAGAGGTTGTAGCTCTAGCCTAGCTTTGCTAGCTCTGACTGGCTTTTCTGATGTAGCTTGATGGCTACAGTGGCTGAATAACAGCATCGTATCCCTCTCATGTTCACAGGCAGGAACTTTTCCCATGCCACTGTCTCATGCCTACAAATAAAATCTTTCCTCCAGGCTTAGTAGCAGAACTGAGTTCTTTAGCCCTAATTGCAGAGACTAAAAAAGCAAATTCCATGGTGGGAGGGAGGTAGAGTGTTAGAAATGGCTTCCACATAGCCCCACCACAGTGTCAGTCAGAAGTGTGCTTTTTCAGTCTGGTATTCACTTTTATAGCATTAGTGCTATAGATTCCAATACTAAAGTCATTCATATATACTCCATCTCAGGATGATTTCTTTTGTGTTTGCTGTATGTTAACAATCTGAGAGTTTTGTGTCTCTTTGTCCAGCTTATACTCTTTCAAAATACTATCATAACTTATTATTAGTACATTTACTATTTACTCTAGTGTAGGTACCTTCAAAAATTATTGACAAAATATATTTTTTAACAGGATCAGAACCCACTCTACATTAACCGAAAATGTGCTTTCTCATAAAGTACAATTTGATAGTAGGATCATATCAAGGTAATTGTATATATTAAAATTTAAAATTATATAATTATAAATATGTATTCTTTTCACAAAAAATAATTAGATTAGACAAATTTTCCCACTTAAGTGAAAAATATGAATTTAGAACAGATGTTTTTAGGTGATAACTATTAATCTGTTACAGAAAATATAGACAATACAAAGCTTAAAAAAATGTTTTAATTAGGAATTATTTAATAAGTGTTTTTAAGTGCCATGTAGTGGTGCATGACTGTAATCTTGGGACTGGGAGGCTGAGGCAGAAGGATTGCTGGGAGTCCTAGGCCAGCCTGGGCTATATATTGAGTTCAAGGCCAGCCTAGACTATAGATTGAGGCCTTCTATCAAGAAGCTAAAACAAGCTGGAGATTTAGCTCAGTGGTACCATCCGTGCCTCACAAGTGCAAGGTCCTGACTTTGAGCTCTCGTACACACACACCAAAAAAAAAAAGAAGAAGAAACTAAAACAAACAAACAACCCCCCCAAACCAACCAACCAAACAAAAAGCCCCCACAAAATAAAAACAAAAAAAGTGATTTTTAGATGTATTGTAATAGCTGGCCATAGTGACAAACACCTATAATCCCAGCACTCTGGGAAGCTGAGGGAGAAGTTTGAGCATAAACTGGATAATTTGGTAATTCAGGGAGACACACTATCTTACAATAAGAAATTAAAAAAGGGGTGGGGATGTAGCTCAGTGTGAAGGCTCTAGATTCAATCTCCAGTAGCACAAAACAGTATTTTAAAAAGAAACTTAGAAGTGAATTTTTAAAATATATGCATTACTGCTATAAAGTTCTAAACCATTTAAAATTAAGTTTTATGTATGATGCTTAATTTAATTTTAATGGTTTTAGTTAACAGTGGATTATTGGCAATGGAGCAGATGACAAGAGAGATGAGTTTTAAACCTAGTGTCTCAGCCTTATAAACTTTCAGTAATACACAGTTCTACTTGATGTTTTTTGTGTATATTTCTGGTAAAATGTATATTTTTAAACTAATACTTGTTCAGTAGTTTTAAACCTTTTTATGGCAATAAAAGGTAATTAATCATATCTTTGAGTAATTTCTTGCAAGCTAAAGATTTTTAAGGTCTTCTCTATTTTGAAAATGTAGATTGAATTAGTAACACACATTGTAACATAACCATATTCATATTTATATAAGATAATGTTTTTTTCTGCATTGAAATCAAATTTGACACTTTAGTAAGCTGCAGTGTGTTTCCTACAGCTTCCCATACCACACACTGAAGGGTTATGTTTTCCCACTCTTAGATGCTTAAATTTCATTCATCATTTCATTTAAAAATCATTCTATTTGAAAATCTTTGATATTGTATTTTTCTAGAAATGGACGTGATGCCTGCAGAGATCTGATTGGGTTCTTTTTTACCAATGACCAATCCCTTACAATATATGAATATCGGCAGTTTGGAAAAAATAGGTATGCCGTTAAATGTGAAAACCCTTGAGATGATTATGCCTGAGAGAAGTTGAATAACGTTACTTGTTTTTCATTTAACTTCTAGAACAAATGTGCTTCCATTTATTCCAAAAAACATTTATAGCCATCAGTGTGGACGAAGAAAAGGAAAACAGTACCAACTTGGTGACTTTTATATTGTAAGTTAAGTGTGTATATATGCAAAACATTTAATAGCATATGTGGGATTGTATGGAATCCCCATGTGGATGGAGAAGCAGGGCTTTTTGCCTTCAGTTTACCCCTTCTCCTTTCTTCTAATCAGGGACTATTGTGTGAGTGGGTAATGGTTGATATTTCCCAAGAAAGCTCTGCCTCTAAGGTCTAAATTCCAGTGGTACGAAAGTATGCTTAGAATTATTCTGTATCACCTCCCCCCATTCTACAATGTAAGTTCTATCCAAGGAAGTTTATCTCTTGGCATTTTTGAAAGCTCTTCAAGGTTATATTATTGGTTAAGAGGTTACTCCAATAACACTAGGAATGATGCTCCATCTAGAGTAGGCTTATTCTCTGAGGATGCATGGTTTCCTTCATGGAGGGCCATTGGTCTCTGGAGCTCCTAACCTATCTTTTATGTAATATGTGCACCATGGAAAGCTCATATGGTGTAACAAAAGGTTTCCCTAATATTGGTGGATTGCAGATAATGTTACAGTTTGTATGGTGCTCTGAAATTCCATTTTTCATTTTTTTAAAGTTTTTGAAGTGCTGGGGATTGAATCCTGGGCCCTGTCTGTGCTAGGCAAGTAATTTGCCACTGACCTACTCTTCCAGCCCCAGTACTCTGAAATTTTAAATTATAAAATTCATGTACTTTAACATGAGTAAAATGAGGCACTATTCATAGCAATCATTCATGTCATATTTATATAAAACTTGAGGCCAGAAGGGAGGAACAGTGAATCAAACAGTGAACCTTCTGTGAGGTCAGAGAAGATTTCCTGGAGAAAGTGCCATCTCACCTTGACTAAGAGTTAACTAGGCTGAGATAGGATCGTAGATGAGAGTAAGGAAAAACTTCAGGGTAAAGGGGACAGCTTGTGTAAAGAACAAAAACAAGAAAACTCATGGATTGTTTGGAGAACTGAAAGTAGTTTAGTCTGGTTGGAATATAAGACTCAGTGTAGGGGTTGTCAAAAGATTAATTGAGTTTCCTAAAAGTAGCCTTATGTTAAAGAGTTACATGAAATGTATGAAGGAGTCACTGAAGGAGACATGGGTGAAATTGGGGGGAGGTGACATGGCAGAAATACGTTTCTGATTACAGTGCAGGTAGTGAGTTGAAGACTAAATGTACGATGACTGGATTGGATTGACATATTAATCTTGGACAGAGGTCATGGCAACTTGAATTAAGCAAGTGGTTGTGTTTACAGAGTTAATTAGAAAAATAGAAAAAATCTTTGGGAGGCAAAACCAGTAAGATTTGATGACCAACTGAGGAAGGAGGGAGGGATGAAGAACCACTTGACATCTTAATCTTGGATTAAATATACAGTATGTATGTTACTCAGTATTGCCTCGAGATCTGGAGAAAATCAGCTCTGACTTCTATTTTACAATCTGAAGAAAGCAAGTTTAGCAAGTTACTGCTAGCTCTGAGTTGCTGTTTCCAGCAATTTAGTGTAGCTGATGATTTATTTTTACTGTCCTCATTCCATATTACTTTGAACCAAATGTGGAAATCTTCTGCATCCTTATATGATTTCCATGGAAGGAAAGGGAAGGAAGGAAGGAAGGAAGGAAGGAAGGAAGGAAGATAGGCATAAACTGCATGCTTTGTGTGTATAGTGGAAATTGTTTGCTTTTTTATTTTTATTTTTTGGTACCAGGGAGCAAACTTGGAACCTTGCAATTGCCAGGCAGGCGGCAGAACCACTGAGCTAAATCCCCAGCCCTGTAGTGGAAATTGTGAAGGCAATATCTAGGGAAGTTTATATTGTAACAGTATAAGGAAATACAATTTATTACTAGAAATTTCTATTCTTAAAAATGTCTTTTGAATATTTCCCATGTAAAAGGCCATCTCTCTTCATTTTCTGACTCTTCCATCCCTTGCCTCTCCCCTATCTTCTATTTTAAAAATATGGAATTGCTCAGCCCAACTCCTATCTTTTTTGGGGAGGAGGGGATTTTCTTCTGCTGTCTAGATATTCTTGTTGAACCTGTCTTTTCATTTCTATATGCCCCATCAATCTTTTCCTAAGTACACCATCAAGAAATTTTGATGCCAGCTATAAAGAAAATACTCATGTGAATATGCACATGTACTCATAGACACACCTGCGTAAGAGTGCTCCCACATATGTATTCACTCATATTTAACATCAGACACATAATACAGTCTGAATGGATGTACTCTTATGCACACATATAAGTATACTGATATATACAACACTGCTACACATCAGAGTCTCTCAATTGCTTAATATAATCCTTATTTACAGAAGGCTCTGAAACTTCTCATCCTCAGTCTTACCCTCTTCTCAACTGAAAAGGCCATATAAACTGCTGTATACTACATATTCTGCCTGGATTCTTATGATCTAAATGTAATATAATATTTCAATTTATCACTCATAATTCTAGACCTTCCAGTTATGAATTGTAAATTCTTTGGATTTTCCTTGATATGTCCTCTTTTCTATCCTTAATAGTCTTTCAGTTTTTGTTTGCATCTTGATACCAGAAACATCACTAATTTCTTTCTCAAAAGCCTTCATAACTTTTAGGTGTTGCTTTATCATGAAGATTAAAGAGTAGAGAGGTCAAATCTGAACTCACTATCTACAACAGCTCCTCTATTCTTTTTGCTCTTTTACTTGGCTTAATTTTTCTTCAGAGTTTCTAAACCTGACATATTATATTCATAGATATATTTTCATTACCCTTCTCTGTCATGATACTGTAACTCTTTGAAGGTTAAGGTCTTACCTATCTGTGCCACTACCATATTCCTATAATACTGAAAATTGATGCGTATTTAGTAGGCACTGTATTTTTAAAGAATGGTTTTAAGGGCTGGGATTTAGCTCAGTGGTTCTGCCACCTGCCTCACAAGAGCAAGGTCCCTAGTTCAATTCCTCATACCAAAAAAAAAAAAAAAAAAAAAAAGAATGGCTTTAAATTTAATATTAAAATTCTAAGGCTGGGGATTTAGCTCAGCAGCACTGTGCCTGATCCCAGGTACAAAAAACAAAACAAAACAGAAACTCTAAATTTTATTAAATCTCTAAAGGAATACTTTTTTATATGTATTTTTGTATTAAAAAGCAGTAGGACAAGACAACATCTGTATCCTGCTTCTTGGTCAGTGGAGACTTCATGAAAGAATGTATGAATGCGAAAGTGCCATGTTGGCTCCAACGTGCTGACACTGTGACAATTTGATTCATTGTTCACTAGTTTCCTAAAACGCCTTACCCTAGACACCAGTGAGGTGAAATATTTGTCCAGTAGGGAAAAAGTTAATCCATTACATTTGAAGCATAGATAAATGTTGGCAAATTTTATAGTCAAAAGTGTTTGAAATTTTTATTTAAAATTGAGAATTCTTTCCTTTTTAAATTTTCCAATTTATCTTTAAAAACAAAATCATCTGCTTATTTTTCTGGAAAATTAAAAATGTCACACTTAGTTCTCAAAGATTATCCTTCATATGATGATGCCTACATTGATAGAACATTCAGATTAGTGATCCTAAGAGACTAAGTAAGGCATTGTGTTTTGGGAGATAGATGTCTAATTTTAGTCTGTGGAATAAGTAGCCAAGAAAATTATGGTATTTTTACTCTACTAAGTTCTCAGTTTGATAAATTATTGTGTTCATTTTCTTGGATGTGTAAAAATGGAGTAATCTCTTACCATAAAGGAGTTTGGTAGAGATAATCTATCCTTTCATTTCTTTAGTAAATTACTTGATATTTAATTACAAATATAAAGCTAACTGTTTTTGGAGGAAGAGATAGATTTGCTTATTTTCAACTGCATATTGATTATTTTTTGTTTTTCAGTGATATACATTTATCTATATTCTTGCATAATGTACCTATATTTCTGTTTGATACATTAAAATTTTATAGATAGTAGGCTTCAAAGCTTTGGGACCAAATTCAAAATACAGCTTTTCCTACTTTAATGATTCTGCCTTAATTTACTTGCAGTATCAACTCCAGTTGTTAATTTTTTCCTGGGCTTGATGTAGAATGTCTTTAACCACTAGAAAGCTGCTAGTGTGTAAAACAGGCAGAAGATCTTCACTGAAGTACTTCCCAATTTATTTCTAGGTTTTTCTCATAGCAAATGAAAATATTTGTTCAGTATGTTGAAGCAGAGAGGAAGCTGCTCCAAGGTGGAAGCTATCAGCAAAGGAGCTCTGCTTGCCTCTAAATTCATCTGGCTCATTAGCTTGGCAGATCTGGAATCCATCTGCAATCTTAGTTGGGAAGCTCTAATTCATTGCTTCATTGCTTTCTTGAAAAATATTTTAAGAATTATCCCATGATTGGTGTGGAGGAAATAGAATTTAAAACCAAATCTTCTGCCAACCCAGAAACCTCATACAAAAGTAGTAAAGAGAATAGTTTTGTTACTGAATAAATATTAAACCAGAACATATTACATTAGAGGCAGTTTGCTATGAAATTGCAAAGACAGAAATCTCACCCTTTTATATACCTAAATGATGCAATCATTGCATACAAGTAACTTGTCTTAATGTAATAGGACTTGACAGCACCATTTGTCACAGTTTATCCTAGAATCACCTAGTAATTACAGTGACCAACTGTGTTACCTAATTGACTTTATTCAGAGGGAAAATAAACTTTTCAATTCTTTGTGACAGAAGGTGGTTTTGCATTTGGAGCAAGGTACGAAATGATATTATGCTCCAACATTCTTAGAAGAACTGAGATATAGAAGTGCTATCTCCCTTTTTGTTTACAGAGTAGTTTCTGGGTCCTGGAAAAAGACTTTCCGAGGTCATAGAGTATATATATATACACATATATACATGTATATATATGTGTATATATATACGTGTATATATATATATGTATATATATATATTTTCAAGGGAGAAGAAATTGCTTACACTCACTGTTCTAAGAAAAAAGGAAAGGAGGGAAATCTCTTCCCTTATGGTCTACAGGAAGAAATAAGACTCTTATTTTTAACTTGTACTTGTCCTTATACTGGCCATTTGTGCATATGAACAATGGAGGAATTAAAGTAATAATCTTTTAAGTTTGTCTTAAGAATTTTGGGTAAGAATTTTGTCCCTGAAACTTTGATGTTCTAATTGGTTTAAATTAGGTTTTATGTTTATGTCATGTCAATAATCAAAAGACCAGGTAAAAGATCATGATACATCTATCACATTCATCAATTCACAGGCACCTCTCTGTGGACTAATACCTCTATTCCTGTGTTGGGATGTCACAGTTTTGATGGAACATTTTTTTGTGTGTGTGATTCTTATTTAAAAAATTTCTTGTATAGCTGACTTTTTTGTTCACATGGATCATTAAATAGAAGACTGTTCTAATTGAATACTTGGGAGATTTGTATTTCTATGGACTGGCTAAAGCCTATGTAGATTCTAAATATTCTTTAAATATACTTTTTATTATTATTAAAATATGCCATGTCACTTATAATAAAAATGAAACATTTTAAATTAATATTAGGTTTTTTTATTTCTTATATGCTTTCTAGCTTTAAATAATCGATCTGTTCCTTTCTTCAGGGTGCAACCTTGACATTTTTGAGCTCTCATCATCCAAGTCTTCCACGAAGCATAAAAGAAAATATATTACTTAGACTTCGAATCACAAATATTGATCAAATGGCTTTGGAGTCTATAAAGTAAGTCAAATATGTATTTATCATTTTGAAAGTGAGTGAAAACACCATTTTTATCTTAAAGTGAGACTCTTATCACAAAACACTTAGATTTTTGTTAGTCCCACAATTGGGACTTGACTGACTTTTACACTCTTCCATCTCTAAGGATTTCTTTGAGATTGAAGCAGGAAACAGAGCTTCTATATTGAAGATTGTAAGATATATATATATATAATATATATTATATATATATATTCAATGTGGACATGTCAATTACAGAACTGTGTCCATGGCACATGAGGAAGATATGATCTAAAAGGTATAGATATAATTTAAAAGCATAGGTATTTCTACTTTATGGGCCATTTTGTGTTAAAATACATTCTATGTGTGAGAAGAGGTATAATCAATTAAACATTTAGAAATCCAATTTTATGTTAAACATAACATTAATTTACCTTTCCTATAGCATTTTTATTTTATCGACTGCTGCCAAAGATTTAAGCTTTAAAATATGGGATATCAATAAAAATTTTTCCCATATTTTTTCTATAATATTTTTAGCATAAAAAGTCTTTGGTGTCATATTCTTATACTATGTGCTGATGGATGATATACATAGTTAAAACATAATGCTATGAATAAAATGATTTCAAATAAATTTCAGTTTTTAAATTGCACATACACACTCACTCTTCTTGCTGAGAGTTTCTTGGTATTAAATACAACAAAAATTGTTTCTGGGCCGGGGATTTAGCTCAGTGGTTTCTCTGCCTGTTGCACAAGCGCAAGGACCCAAGTTCGATCCCCGGTACCAAAAAAAAAAAATTATTTCTATATGTGCATTAGGGGATCTATCACACAAACTGGCTATAAGGAAATAAATGTTGTTATTATTGACTGTATTTCTAAAAATAAATGCATTAGGGGCTTTTTAAAAATAATATTTTGTGATTTGCAAGGTAAAACTGCTTTTAAATTTAATTGTTTTGCTTAAGTCTTTCAAGAACATCGAAGCAGCTATAAAAATGAATATATTCACAGGTAGTTTTTAGAACATTTTAATGATTTTAAAACAACTTCTGGAATCAAAGAAGCAAGCTAAATTGGGACTTTATTGACTTTTATATTCGTCCAACTCTGAGAATTCTTTAGGTTTGGAGAAGGGAACAGTTAGAGCTTCTATACTGAAGACTGTAAAATAGAATATATACAATATAATATATAAATATATATTTATTAATGTGGACATGTCAATTACAGAACTGCATCCATGGCACATGAAGAAGATATAATTATGCAAGAAGCCAATGATAGGCTGGTCTTCAAGGCCATTCAAGGTATGTGTTTACACTACTCTCAAGAGCTAGTCTTAGTTTGCAGCCTATTTTCATTGTAATTAGTTAAATCAGTATTTTCAAGTTACTTCTCAGTTTTGTACCACTTGCTTTCTTTTCCTATTTGATTTTCAAAGTTAATATATTTATTTATTTCTTAAAAATACTTTAGGGTTTGTCTTACTTTAATGGTCCTAACTAAATAGTATTATATGAACTATGAAGTCAAGAATTTTAGAAAGTACTTAATAATATGGGCTTTACTCATAAACTAAATAAAATGTAAAGTTCATTTTTGTAATATAGTTGTCTTATGCATTAGATGATGTTCTAGAGATTTGTGATAGTTTAGAATAAAAGAAAAAGTGTTACGACTGGGATGGCTGTAGTTCGTGTTTGGACTCAGTTACTGATCTGACATATGTCTTTGTGAAAATCCTTTGTGCTTTTTCATCTCTAAACTGAGGATAATAAATGAGACATATGTAGATGTTGGAAACCATAGTGTTTTTAACATTTTGATTTTAGAGTCCAATCTTATAACCACTACTGTATATAGTATACAAGGCTAAGTAAGAGAGAGTTCCTTTATTAGATCTCATTGTGTAGAACAAAGATATTAAACAATCACAAAAATTAATACATACTTTATGGATTTTGATGATTTCTTTATTTAAATGTAAAGATTTTAAGCAAGCTCTAAAAATATTTTACTAGGAGAGGCTGGAATCAGATATGATGGTTGAGATTGGTATTTGAACTTAGATATTCTTGATATCATTTTTAGTAGTTTTTTCTGTTCTATCATAGTGAATACAGTTCTTGTCAATAATGAATCTGATCTATGGGACACAATGAAAGCAGTCTTAGGTGGGAAATTCATAGCAGTGTACACTCATGTTAGAAACAGAGCAAGCTCAAATAAACAACCTGATGCTGAACCTCAAGCTTCTAGAAAAAGAAGAGCAGGACAAACCCAAAACTCATACAAGAGAGGAAATTATAAAGATCAGAGCAGAAATGAATGCAATGGAGGCTAAGAGAACCATACAAAAAAATCAATGAAGCCAAGAGTTCGTTCTTCCAAAGAATAAACAAAATTGACAAACCCTTAGGAAACCTTATCAAAAAAAGGAAAGAAAAGGCTCAAATCCATGCAATTAGATATGAAAAGGGTGTAATTACAATGGACCCAGCAGAAATCCAGAGGATCATCAATACCTACTTCAAGAACCTATATGCCAATAAGATGGAAAACACAGAAGAAATGGACAAATTCCTAGATACATAGGAATTATCAAAGTTGAACAAAGAAGACCTAAAAATTCTAAACAACTTAATATCAATCAATGAAATTAAAAACTTAATTAAAAACTTAGCAAGTAAGAAAAGCCCAGTCCCTGATGGCTTCACTGCTGAATTCTGCAGGATATTTAGAGAGGAACTACTGCCACAACTGTTTAAACTCTTCAATGAAATTGAAAGGGAAGCAATACTCCCAAATTCATTCCTGGAAGCAAGCATCACATTGACAACCAAAGCAGAGAAAGAACCAACTGAAAAAGAGAACTATAGGCCAATCTCACTAATGAACATAGTTGCAAAAATCCTTAATAAGATACTGGCAAATAGAATGCAGAAGATCATCAAGAAGATCATACACCCTGATCAAGTGGGATTCATCCCAGGGATGCAGGGATGGTTCAACATATGCAAATCAATAAATGTAATACACTATATCAATAGAGCCAAGGACAAAAACCATATGATCATCTCAATAGATACAAAAAAAAAGTATTTGACAAAATCCAACACCCATTCATGATGAAAACCCTACAAAAAATTGGAATAAAAGCCATCTACGAAAAACCAACAGCCAATATCATACTAAATGGTCCAAAACTGAAATACTTCACACTAAAATCAGGAACAAGAAAAGTTTGTCCATTATCACCAGTCCTGTTCAAAAGAATTTTGGAAACATTAGCCACAGCAATTAGACAATAGAAAGAAATAAAAGGAATAAAGATAGGAAAGGAAGAAGTCAAATTCTCATTATTTGCAAATGACATGATACTCTATATAGAAGACCCCAAGAACTCCACCAGAAGTCTTCTATACTTAATAAGCAAGTTCAGTAAAGTAGCTGGATATAAGGTCAACACACAAAAATCAATAGCTTTCCTCTGCACGAACAACCGACTCACTGAGAGAAATAGGGCAAACAATTCCTTTCACAATAGCATCCAAAAAATTGAAATGCCTAGGAATCAACCTAATGAAAGAAATCAAAGAGGTCTTCTCTGAAAACTATAGCACTCTGAAAAAAGAGATCAAAGATGATATCAGAAAATGGAAAGACATCCCTCTCCCCTGGGTAGGAAGGATCAACATAGTGACAATGGTCATACTTCCAAAACTACTATATAGATTCAATGCAATCCCAGTTGAAATCCCAGGAGCATACTTCATGAACCTTGAGAAAACAATCCAAAATTTCATTTGGAACAAGAAGAGACCCAGACTAGCAAAAGCAATTCTAGGCAACAGGAACATGGCAAGGGGTATCATAACCCCTAACTTGAAACTATACTACAAAGCTACTGTGATAAAAAAACCAGCCTGGTACTGGCAAAGAAACAGACCTGACCACCAGTGGAACAGATTAGAAGATGTAGAAACAACTCCAGGCACACTCAGTCACCTCATCTTCGACAAAGGAGCCAAACACCCTCACTGGAGGAAAGATAACCTCTTTAATAAATTGTGCTGGAAAAACTGGGTTTCAAGTTGCCAAAGATTAAAATGAGACCTATATCTCTAACCATGCACTAAACTAAAATAAAAATGGACTAAAGACCTAAATATTAAGATAGAAACACTAAACTGGCTGGAAGCAAGATTAGGTAGAACTAACTCTTGAAGACCTTGGTGTAGGAAAAGATTTTATGAACAAAACTTCAGTCGCCCATGAACTAGAACAAACAATCAACAAATGGGATCTCTTCTTATTAAAAAGCTTCTTCATAGCAAGAGAAACCACCAACAGAGTGAAGAGACAACCCACAATGTGAGAAATAATTTTCATGATCTGTTCCTCAGACAGAGGTCTACTATCTACAATATATAAAGAACTTTAAAAAGTCAGATCTCCCAAATTTAAAGACCCAATCCAAAAATGGACATCTGAAAATGGACAGACATTTCTCAGACAAAGAAGTAGAAATAGCAAATAAACATATGAAAAAATGTTCAACATCACTGGTCTTTCAAGAGATGCCAATGAAAACAAAGCTGAGATTCCACCTCATCCCAGAAAGAATGGCTGCTATCATGAAATCAAACCATAACAAGTGCTGGCAGGGCTGTGGGGAAAGAGGAACACTGCTCCACTGTTGGTGTTAGTGTAGACTGGTGCAACCACTGTGGAAATCAATATGGAGATACCTCGAAGATCTAGGATTGGAAGGCCCATTTGACCCAGCTATTCCCCTGCCTGGTATCTTCCCAAAAGAATTAAAAGAATCATACCACAATGATATATGTGCACCCTTATTCATAGCAGCACAGTTTGTGATAGCTAATACTTTGAAACAGCCCAATTGCCCATCAACTGGAGACTGGATAAAGAAGATGTGTTGTTTTTTTTGTTTTTTTTTTCATAAAATGGAGTATTACTCAGCCATAAAGAATGAGAAATTAGAGACATTTATAGCTAAGTGGATGCACATTGAGGCAATTCTCTTAGGTGAAATAAATAGGACACACATGTGTAAATACTGAATAGTTTCTCTAGTATGAGAAACTGAAAGTGTAAATAAGGACTAAAAGATAAAATAGATAATGTTAAATAATAAGAAAAGGGGTAAAGGGGAAGGGAAAGTGGGAGGGGTAGAGGAAAGGAAAGAAGGGAATGGAATTAATATGAGAAAAAGAAAAAAATGGAACGAAAGTCTTTGTAAATAGGGAGAGGTGGAGGGGTTGAAGGGAGGGCAGGTGAATGGGAAAAAAAATAAGAACCAAGATAGAGTATTAAAGGAGCAAATTCCCAATGCTGTTCATTATATTGCATACCTAAAATGTTCCAATGAAATTAATAATATAAAAATATTGAATCTGGTGACATTTGTTCTTTAATGTATTAGATCCAATTACTGCTTTAGAATTTATTTTCTTAAATATAGTACAAACTGCATTAAAAGGAGCATATAACCTCTTATGCCTTTTTGGAAGGAGGGTTTACTTTAAGTATATAAGTATAGGCTTGTACTCCAAAATTTTGATGGTATTTAATATATAAATTGTAATTTGAGGATTTCAGGCTATTTTAAACTTTTTGAAATCGTAACTTTTGGATGACTTCTCTGCCCTCAGTTTTGTAATTCGGTAACAATAAAGAGGAGAGGAAAGAGATTAAAGATGTGGGGGTGGTTAAATATAGACATCTAAACAATACAACTAAGATTTTATTTGTAACATTTAGGTTATTTTCTTCCTTGGAGAAACATTTTCTTGTATTTAAAATATAACACTTTCACCACACAGTGGTGCTGTAGTTCTGGTATATTTACATGGGACTGAATATACTGCTTAACTCTCTTTATTAAAACCATCGAATTTTCCAAAGTCTTCCCTCAGTCACACATGGGATTTGGTTCAATATTTACATCCCTTATCTCCATTGCATCAGTTTTCATTTTCTTATAAGACAGAAAATTGCCTCTGTTTGATGCCTCTGTGCCTAGGAAGAATTAGTTTCCATTTCTCTTTTTCTTAAACAGATGCGCTGAAAGAAAAACTGCAGAAAAGAGGTGTTCGCATTTTGACTGGATTGGGAAAATACTTTCAACAGCTGGATAAGGAAGGATGTGGACTTTTAAATAAGGCAGATTTTAAGCAGGCTTTAAAAGTATTTCACTTAGAAGTATCTGAAAAGGTATGTACCACAGAAAATGTACTGCAGTGAATAATGTATTACTCTCAGGTGACATTATCGATTTCCTACTGAAGTTTTTGTAGCCCATTTGTCTCATTTATGACCTGCTACTAGTGTTTAGTTACCAGGCTGCAAGACTTCTTGATTTAAAAAATTTTAACATTTATTTCTCTTTCATGTATTTATTTAATTTTTTAGTTTTATTTAAATTTTTTCTTATTAGTATAACTTTGTGATATATAATGAATGTATTCATCATGGGGTATTGGTACTTATACATGTTGCATCTTGATCCTTTTTACTTCCCCTTCTCCTTTCCAATCTCCTCAAAGTCCACCTTTCTGTTTACTATTATCTTTCTTTTTACTTTGCTCTTTAAATGATTTTTTATTTTTTTTCCCAATAGTGGGGATTGAGCTCAGGACCTTGTGTTTGCCAGGCAGGTGCAGTGCCACTGAGCTAAATCTCCAGACCCTCTTTAAATTATTTATACCTTGAGTTTCTCATATAAAAGAAGCCATGTGATGTTTAACTTTCTGTGTCTGATTTATTTCACTTAGCATTATGGACTCAAGGTGCAGCCATTTTTTCTACAAATGACTCAAGTTTATCATATATTTATTAAGAACTTAATATCCAGCCACTGTGCTAAGTTCTGAGAATATGCACACTACTCTTATGATCTTATAATCGAGAAAAAATGATTATAAAATAATACATGTGTTAAGTAGAGAATGTTTTGGGAACAGAGGGGATGGTAACTAACTCCAAGATAGATTATAGGGAAGGAGAGGGAAGATCATAGAAGGATGCCTGGAGAAGGATACATTAAGGCTGAGTTTTGAAGGATGGGAACTCAAACAACTGATATTAAATGAAAAAGAGAACCATGTGAAGGCATGGAGAGTGTGGCCTATTTTCCAAACTGCAAATGTTCACCTTCACATATACTGTTCCCTCTGCTGTGACTGATCCCCCTTTAGATCTTTATATGCTGAACTTTCTTGTTCAAATCACAACTTCCTCTCTTACTCTGACCCCTCTGTCTAAAAAACCACCACGGTATGATCTCTGGGCCTTTCTATGTCAATTTCACATTTTACTTTCCTCATGCCACTTTGTAAGTGTTTATTGGCTTTCCTGCCAATAAAATATAAGTCCTATCAGAGAGGGAACAGGGTGCTTCTGGTTTTCTGCTCTTCCTCTAACCCTTGGGATAGAACCTGTTGTACAGCAAGTGCAGAATAAAGCAAGTGCATCGGTCTGAATGGATAATGTGTGGAAGGAAGGAAAACCGGTGGGAAATAAGCCAGTATATTAAAGTCTTGCATGCCGGGCTACAAAGTTTGGATTGTATTCTAAAAGAACATGAATTTGGTTCATATAAAGGATTTCAGATAGAAAATTCTTTTGCATTGTTCTCTTTTACTTAAAGTGGTCTTGTCACAAGGTATTTTTTGTGGCTGGAACATTGTAAATTATTGTGAGATTTAGGTTCAAGTTCTAGCTTTGTTATTTTAACTGTGTGGTCTTAGACAAGTCTTTTACCTTTTCTTATTACAGGATGTACCTGAGCAATTCTGAGATAATTGTTATTGTTAGAGTTGCTTGGAAGCTGAAGTGAGAAAGTTATATCAGAGGTTTCCTATCAGCTGTAAAATTCTGTGCCAGTATGATGTTCCTTATCACGGTTGTGAAATACCTGTCCTCTGGGTTTCATGACACTTAAACTTAGGGCTCACACTAGGGATCATCTATCTTCACCTCTTTCTTTCATGGATTAAAAAAAGTAACAGCAATAGGAAATGTGAAAGCCTTGGTGTCTTTACTGACAACCACTGAAAAATAATCAGTCACTAATAGAAAACTAGAGCCCAGATAACCTGGCCTCAAGTCTACATGCTCTGCATCAGTGCTGTACTTACCTTTTGGTGGTTTGCTAAATATTTATGACTAGGTTTATGAATAAAATTATAATAATTGTATGAAACTTCTAAAAGTGATACCATATATTATAAGAATATATATATTCTCCCTTTCTCATACATTTTAAGAAATACTCATATTTTATTTCCTATTATTTATCACTGTAAACTGCTCAGGGCCTGGTAAACATATGCAAGAGGTAGAAGAGTAAGATGCTAAGAATCATCAACCTAGGTCTAACTGGAACTAGAAAATGTTTGCATGAATACATAATCATTCTCCTTGATTTGAAATAAAAAGTTATGTGGGCTCCAAAGAGCCTGATTTATATGGAAATACTATCAATGAATTTACCTTAGTTTTTTTAACTGAATGTTTTTCATTTTGTACTCTATCAAAAGTTATATAAATTTGTTGCTACTTATGTAAAATCATTTAATTCTTAAAAACAACCCCTTTTAAATTTTAAAAAATATCTTTTAATTCTAGAATTCCATGAGTTGGGTGAGCAAATGTATTTTCTCCTGTTCATATTATTCATGTTTTTAAAGGTCAAGCTCATTTTTAATTTAACTGCACAGACAACTTAAATCTCTGTATTGTACAGGGAATTATGCAAGGCAAAAAGTCTGCACTGTTGAGAATTGAAGGGAGGCAGAACATTTTGAGATTTAGTTTTTCTAATTGAAGTTTTATTTGAAAAAGTTAGAAGGAGATGAAAGCAAATATTTGTTGAGTACTTATTTGCCAAGCACCTTGCTAGATATTTTATTTACATTCTCATTTAAAGCTAACAACTTGATTGAAGCACCGAAAATGTATTTATTTGAGTTTAGGAATGCAAGCTACAATTTCTTTGTTGTTGGGGATGCTGTGAATACAATATTCTATGAAATAGTACATTTGCCAAAGAAGTAAATGGCAATAGCAAAGTGAACAAGCTGACATAAGGGCTTAACTCAAAATTACACCTTTCAGTGTAAATTATAGAATAGTATTAGAGTATTCAAATCTTCTATACTTTCAAGAATGAAGACTAGCAGAAATACAATTAGTGGTCACAATGCTGTTGGAAGTATTTCAGAATCTGAAGTGATTTTGAATTGTCACATATATAATACATTTAATGAAATATTCAAAACCAATTACATGGTAACCATTTTTTTTAATACATAGGAATTGAACTTAAAGGGATCAATTTGTTGTCAGAGCATGGCTGGGTTGCAGAGGTAGGGGGAGGGATGGGGTTCATGGTAGTGATGCAGAGGCAGTGTAAAGGGGAAAACTTGATTGAAGGGTACAAACTTTTGTAAGACAGGAGGGATAAGTTCTAGTGATCTTTATATTGCACAGCGTAATGACTGGTTAATAATACTGTATTGTATATTTCAAAGTAGCTAAAAAGAGTTTTAAATATTCTTGCTACAGAGAAATGATAAATATTTGAGGTGACGGTCATGTTAGTCTAATTTAATCATTCTACAATGTATACATATATTCAGACACTACATTGTCTCCATGAATATATATATAAAATTAGTATTTGTCAATTAACAGTAAAATAACTTAAAAAATTCATGAGGTTTTGCCACTACTAACTGGGTTTTTTTTCAAATTTTATTAGAAATTGTTTGCAGTACACAAAGTTGACATTCATCTTAGGGACTGTACATAACTGATTACAGAACTGTTCACTTCTGAGTCCCTTTAAGTAATTTTCATTGGATTTATGTAAATTTTTTTTAAAAAATCTTTTGTTAAAGAGCTACTTTAAATCTACAGAAGATGTAACAAAACATGAGTACAATTTTCTTATGGCCATATATAACTTAAAGATATAACAAAGAATGCTGAATACTTTTAGGATTTTGAATCTTCATGGATAATTCTGATCACCAATGGCAACGGAAAGGACAAAGTTGATTATGGAGAATTCAAACGTGCCATTATTGGTGAAATGAATGAATATAGAAAATCATTTGTTCGAAAGGTAACTGTTAAGTAATCTTTTAAATTATTACTTTCTTTTTTCAGTACTGGGGATTGAACTCGGGACCCTGTGCTTGCAAGACAGGCGGCAGCATCACTGAGCTAAATCCCTGGCCCTTAAATTATTACTTTTAATTGGTTGTTAGGTTCATTATTTAAAAACTTGAATGAAACTTATAATTTAAAACATGTTTTATCATTTTACCTGTAATTCAGGTAATGCATATATGCATATAAACATACCCAGAAAAAAAAAGCCAAAATAACTTATGAATGTTTTAGAAAAACATAAAAGAAAAATAAAATTTGAAATCAAATTTTGTTTATAGATGACTAGCTTTGTAAATGTAATGAAATATCCTCTATCCTCAGTTTCCTATCCCTTAGAGTTGATATAAGGATTGAATGAGATAAAATTCTCAGTATTGTGACTGTCCCGGGGTCAGTGTTCAAATTGTTATTTTAAATGATGGTTAAAAGCGTTACTCTGGTTTTTATAATGCATACTGAATGTTAAAATGAAGATTACAATAATCATGATAAATTGGAATTAAAAGCGGGGCCCTGATTTTTATAGAGAACTACATTTTACTTGGCTTCTGGTTTCCATTTTTTACAGTCAAATTTGAGCATACAGTGTTCTTTTTCTTTTGTACGGACCTCATACAAAATTTACATGCATCTAATATTAAAACAGTATTTTGTAACACAGTGGTATAAACAATTATGTCAAATATAAACCTCCAACTCAAAAAGTTAAAATCTCTATCCTTTGTTGACCAAAAGACATAACAGAAACCTTAAATAAATACACCACATAATATTTATAAATTTGTACTTTTTATACTTTGCATGTACTGGTGATAGGTTTGAATATCAGGAGTAGGAATTGGGTTTTTTTGTGGTTGTTCATCTGTCTTGGTCTTGGGAATAGAAGGGGAAAAGAGCCAAGAGTGGTGGTGCATGCCTGTAATTCACCTCCCTGGGAGGCTGAGTCAGGAGGATTCCAATTCATTCTGTAATAGAAGTGAGGTTTCTTTGAGCTCAATATTGTGAATAAACAAGCTTGATTCTGTTTTTGACTCTTATGTCAATGTGGAATGTTGCTTTCGGTAGTTTGTGTGATTCAGCATCTTTGCAATGAAATATTTTGGGATGTTTTATAATACTCAGAGTTGCACTGAATTAGAGAAGCAATAAAGTAATTAGTATTTCTAAAGGCAATGTTCAAGTTTAAGAAATAAAGTAACAACACTCATTCTAAAAGTACTTAATTTTTTCATTAGAGAAATATTTGTAAGCTCACATTTGAGTTAAAATGTCCTCCTGGCAATTTGTTTTCGTCATTTGTCAGTTACAAGTTACATGAGAGGGCTTTTACCCAGCTCTTCAGGGCAACAGAGGTTAGGTTACATTCTCAAGGTTAAGCATCTCTCCTATACTAGTTCAATACTTTTCAAGTGTCTTGATTGTAGCTCGGAAACAACCTACTGCAAAATAGAAAATCAGGTTCTCATGTCTATTGATTTTATATAAAAATAACATTTCTCTCTTTAGGCCTTTATGAAACTAGATTTCAACAAAACTGGCTTTGTGCCTATTATAAACATAAGAAAATGTTATTGTGCAAAGAAGCATCCTCAAGTAATTTCAGGTAACTATTGAGTCAAAATACATTTGATTTTGAAAATGTTAGTAAAAATATCATTTTAAACCCATTAATTTAAAGCATAAACTGAAAACATTAAGATATTAAATAATTTTTGTTTGATGAGAACATTGAGAACAATTCTCCCTTCTTCATTGAAAAAGTCTTAGGTCTATTGTCTGTACTTGTTTCTTTAATATTCACAATTGAGTTAAAACTCTTATTTCTCACTTAGGAGAGTGAGGAATTTGTTAAAAGAACAGAAGAGATTTAGAGACTAGATGATTGCACGTGCAGATTCTCAGCCTCAATTTTACTGCATAGTTATCCATACCTAAGGATTTATGACTGAATAAAGGAGTACCTTTTTTAAGGGTTGGATTTATACATACAGTGGACATATATATTTCTATCAAGATTTTGAGATACAGTAAATTTCTAAAGTAATTATAGAGATTTATTTCCTATTATATTTCTTCTGAATAATTAGATTAAATAATTAGATTATAAATGCATTCTTGTTACAAAGAAAGCATTTGGGCACCATAACTCCCTACTTTTCTTTACATTGTTCTCCAGAGAAGTAAACATTACTATCATTTAATATATATGTGGTACCTAGGTTCGCGAACTTAATTCATTCCAAAGATTCTGGAAAAGATGGCTGTGGTCATGTTCATGTGGAAAAGATGGCAGCAGTCATGTTCATCACCCAATGCAGGGTTTGCAAACAAAAACAGTTTTGCCAAATGCTTCTGTTTGTGAACCAAAAGTGTTCGTGAACTGAGTATATTTCAGTTATCATTCCATAACTTTTTCATAGCTGTTAAATGCTATAAATACCTAATACATTTTGAAGTAATTTTGGACATCAAAGAGGTATTTAACATATTCTTATGTAGTTGATTTTTTATGCTCAACAATATGTTTTGGAATATCTCTATGATAAGCCTCATTGAGTCACCTTAGTCTTGTTTGTTGCATATTATTTCTTTCACAAATCAGTGTACTACAGGTTACATAGTCATTCTCTGTTGCTGGATTTTTAATTTCTAATTATTAATGCACAACCAGTGAGGCAATATAATGCTTATTTATGACTCCTTAGGTTCATTTTCTTTTTTTCTGTTTATCAGGAGTGATGTCAATTCTTAGAATTACTGGGATATTTATATTTTAAGTTTTAATGGACATTTACAAATTATATTGTAAGATAGCCATACTAGATGTACTGCTCTTAGTAGTAGAATTTTTTTCCTTCATAAATTTGCCAACAATTTAACCTTTTGTCAATCTGATGGACGAAAAAAAAATTTTTTTGCATTTCTCTGGTTCTTAGAGATGTAAAATATTTTCATATATTTATTGGGCATTTGTCCATTTTATGAATACTTATTGACCACCTTTTATGAATAGTTTCTAATTTATCATTTTAGTTATATGCTATTAATACAGAATACTGTTATTTTAGAGTTTTAATTCTATATTAAGGAAGATACACTAATTACTTCAGTTTCTTGTTATTAACTCATATATGATTTATTTAGTACTTTTATCTGAGAAGTTGAAAAATAGAATTGTTTTTGAAGATTAAAGTTAACCATTATTGACTTCTAAATTTCTAATTATTTTAGGTCAAAATAGTTGTATTTTTAAATTATTTTTATTTTTATTTATTTATTTTTTGGGTACCGGGGATCAAACTCGGGTCCTTGCTCTTGCACAGCAGGCAGTGAAACCACTGAGCTAAATCTCTGGCCTATGTAATTTTTTATCAATGACTAAATGAACAACAGTTTGTGTAAGATAATTTCTAGTGTTATTTAGGAGTTGTTAGTATATTTTTTACCCTTTAAACACCTGACAGTCTCTGCTTTTTTGTCTTTAGTCATATTAAAATTTTGTTCTTGTATATAGTTTACTCATTTCAAAACTAGACGGTTTCAACCTTGTGAATTTTTTCCTTTTGATTCTTTTTAAACAATCTTTAATAGGTAATTTAAATGGCTTCAGTTTTATTATGTGTCCCTGAATTGTAGATGCAGGAGGGTTTTACTTTTGTGTTTGTCAGTAAGGCTTTGTTAGTTTCAAAAATTTCATAATTTATCTTTGCAGTCATATTAAGGAGGACTGGCTAGCAAGCTTAACACTCTTAGAAAAACATGTTATTTTTTTAAAAAAGAAAAACTCTGCTGTCGTTATAAATTATAATTTATTCACTTGGCCATCTTTGGGCTGCAACTTGTTTACAATTTACAGTTTTAAATTGAGGCTCTTACACTGTATCTAATTTAAGTTTAACCATAGAAAATATTGTTTTTTACTTAAGTAATTTATTAGATAAAAGGTATTTTAAAGTGTAATGGAAATATGATACCCAAATACCCTTTGTGAGATGGTATTAGAAGTACTAGTGTCCATAGGGATTTAAAAATATTTAGTTACAGTTGTGGAAGATAGCTATTTCTAGGAGGGAGATTTTAAGGATATACAGAGTTTTTAACTACTTGAAATATAAATTTAATTAAGAAATTTTCAAAAGAAATTTGATTAAAACATAGCTGTTCAAATATATGGAAGAGAAATTTCTCCTGCTAATGTTTGTTTTCATATAGATTAGATCTTGATTAATTTTTAGACTTCACTAAGTCACAAATTTATTTTATTATCATTCTTTACATTGCATAAGATCTAGTCCTTTTTCATTCAGCTATTTTTAAATGAAACAATCATTTTTTTCTTGATTTTTCTTGCATGTTTTTAAAAGAGAGCTTTTATTTAGCATGAAAGGCACTTTCCAATGTTTTATTATCTTTGTCTATGAATGAACCTCAGGTTTGTTGGAAAGATTCAGCTCTTGCCCTAAGTTGTCTACTTTGTTAGACAAATGATTAGGGTGGTATTCCCATTTGTGTCTGTTCGTCAAAAGGCAGCCTGAACCTGGTGAGGAGGCTGAGACAGGATCCCTGAGAGTTCAAGGCCAGCCTGAGCTACATGGTGAGTTCAAGGCCAGCCTGAACTATGTGCTGAGACCCTGTCACAAAAACCCAGTCCAAAACAAAACCAAACAAAAAAATGCAACTTTAAAAGGTTTCAGAGAAGGTCACATAGATTTTTTTTTTTTACCCTTTCTTACTTTTTAAAAATATGGGCCTCTGTTTATTCGCTTTTGAATATTACCTGACCACCATTTGTAGCTTTTCATCTTTGAATTCCTCTTTTCTTATTAAAAAGTTGATTTTTTTCTTCTGTATTCTCTGCTGAAATCCTGAGAATAGATGAATATGAGAGAGGTGGGGAGTGGCAAATTAGGAGGAATTAATTTTAGTTCATGTGTAAATAAATTGAAAGTTTGATATGAGAATTTAAATTCTCATAAGGGTTTCATAAGATGAATAAGTATTCATTTATCATCACTAATCATTTTATTCAAATTTTACACACTATTTTACAGGTCATTCCACAGAGGAGGAAATCAAATCATCTTTTCTAGAAACATTAAAAGATGCTGGCGGCAAGTCTGATGAAGTGTCATATGGTGAATTTGAAGATTACTATGAAGGTCTAAGTTTAGGGATAGTAGATGATGAAGATTTTGTTAACATCTTACGTACTCCATGGGGAATTTAGTTTTTAATAACGAATATACTGTCAGCTCTAGGCAGTTTATAGAAGAGATGACTTTTATAAAATATACAATCAAAGCCTAGGATATATTTTTTCAGAACTCCCTTTATTGTGTTTTTTTCCCTCAGGAAAATTGAGTCTGAAAATAAAAATATTATGTGTGTGTGTGTGTGTGTGTGTGTGTGTGTGTGTGCACATTCACATGCTTACCGCTTACCTAGGTTGGTAAATATATACATTTTTGGTTTATTACTTATTTTGAATCTATTTTAAAGAAAATTTTTAAATTTTTCCATAGGAAAGTTATATTGGTATCAAACTGTATTTTAAAGAAAATTTTTAATTTTTCCATAGGAAAGTTATATTGGTATCAAACTGTAGGAAAGCATATATTAACCAAGTTTCTTGTCCTTTCAGTCTTTTTGTTTGTTTTTCTGCAATCCTTCCCTGGAATTTTCCACCATTCTTAATTTGGTCAATTGGAATTGGGCTTAAAGCTCATGAGAGCAAAAGAGTTCAGCTTGTTTTAAACATATAAAAGTATTAAAGTAATTAAAGGACATGCAAGAGAAATTTCCAAACAGTGTGACTGTAGATATTTCCTGCAACATTAACATTTAGAATGATTGGAATTTACCTCTACCATGTGCCTTTAAACTGACTTGACTTGGAAGTTCTTGTCTTCTAAATTATGTTCTGTTGTTTATTCAATAGACATAATTATTCTGGTAGCCAATCATATCTCTATATATTTTTCAGTTTTTAAGTGGAAAAAATATTACCTATAGCATAGCAATATCATTTGACTAGAAACAATATAGGAGAGGAAATGTTCCCTTAGAGTACTAAAAAAGCCCTCAAAAGATCCAGTATGAAATATGTTGATCTAAGGGATAATTTAGTATTTCTTATCTAAAATGTAAAAGCATATTTTGTATCACAAAATGAATGAATGCTATTTTACATTTTTTTTTCTGATAAAGGGAATTGAACTCAGAACCTTGGACTTGCCAAGGTTCTGAGCTACACCCCTGGCTTGAATGAATGCTATTCTAAACATTTTTTCATGTACTAGGCAATCAAAAAATTTTCTTCTAAATATATATTACTAAATGGTTAAAAGTATTATAATCATTTTTTTCTAAATTCTATGTTCCTCATTTCTTCCTGGAAAGAGAAAAAAAGAGAACTTTATAATAGAGTTGTTTCCAACTTCACAATATTTATGTTAACAAATCAGAAAAAAATATATGAAGCAAATATAACTGGTTCAAAAAAGATGTATGCTTTGCCAAGTACAACTTTGATCATATCACTTCATATACAGTGTATACTTGGCAATATTATCAGAAGCCTGGTATGTGTGAAATCAATAAACAAATCTTTCCAAGATTTCCTGAACTAGTAAAATTTACTCCTGAAGTATCAGAAGGAAATATGTGCAAATCCATGAGTGACATTTTCACTGACTAAATTCTTTATTTCTTGGCATGTTTTTCAATTAATTATTGAAATTAAGCTGTTATGCTAGCAGTCTTGGCAGAAATAAGTTTGTAGCACTATTTCTGAGTCACATTTTAAAAATTTCACAAATTTACATCTTTAACTCTATTAGTTATTCTTGTCTTCAAATAAATAATACTAATAGTCTTAAAATACACATAGTAATTTTCACTGATAAAGTTTTAATTCTCCTTTAAAATGTTATTTTAATATTGAGAATTCATATTTTTCTGTGACTACAATCAGGAGATATGTAAATTGTCACATTGTAAAAAGAGGGGGAGGAACTTCTGGAATGTAACCTGTTAATATGACAGTGTACTCAATATGTCTTCAATATCTTAATATAGATATTCACATGTGATTACTTGTAGTATCTCTACTAATGAGATGTAGCATTTTGTAGTTAATTTATCTTTCATCTTCTTAAATGCAGATTTAAAAAGTAAATAATACATGTTTTTTGATGTAAGTAATACATGTTTTTTGGGTATTTTGTTAAATCAAAATTGGTGACATAATAAATCATTCTGCTTTTGATTTTTGTCTTAACTGTCTACATTCTTCTTTGACTTTAGCATAGTAAATTATTTCATTTAGTATTTAATTTAGTAGAGAATATTTAATAGAAATGATATTTTCAAGTATTCATGACATAGGTGACTTTTCCTATTCTTAATGTTCTTTAAGATTCTGAAATTTCTTTTGAAAAACTTTAAAATATTAAATTATATGCTGTTTACTGTTATACGAATGTGGTAGTTAAATGGATTTTATAATCTCTAGATTTTGAAAGCTGCTCTTGGATATGATATATAGTTTCTTTCCCAGTTAACAATATGGTTTTTTTAATGTGTGTATTTATTTTACTGTTTATATTCTTATAAGTAAAGTTTTACAGAATTTTCAAGAAAAACATTTTATTAGAAAACAAGGGACATTATATAGAAATTTCAGAAAATGTTTTAATGTAAAGAATATACATGTGCATGATGGTTCAATTATAGGATAGATAAAAATGTTCTTGTTTTAAATTTTATATTATATGAATATATGAGCTTAATGAAGCAGTGACTGCATAGCCACTTAGAATAATTTATAATTTTGATACAACTATACACCATATTTTGTTTTAATTATTACTTTCAACATCTAGTTAGTTATTGTCAATTACTTCAGGAGAGAATTTTGTACAATATTGCAGATTATTTAATGTGTTTCTGTGAGATTATAGTTTGCAGTGCCTGCAGAAATAAAATAGGTAGCATAATGAATTGTAATCACTACTTGGTTGACCAAGAAAGACAAACATCTGTAGGGCAAGTGTTTTAAGAAATAGGAAAGTGAGCATATGTAACACAAAGCAAACAGGAGGAGAGCAAAGAGAATATATAGAGTGGATAGGTGTTAGTATCTGATAATGAGAAGAAGGGCATGTTATATTCTTCTATTTTCATTTTAAAGTTACACAAACTTCTAAGTAAGGAAAACTCATTAGTTTTGAATCTGTCCCTTTCACTGCTCTCTGTGCCTCCCATTCCTTATGTGTATGCTCCTCCATCAACTGCTCCTTTGTCAATCCTATTTAAATCCATCATCTACATTGCTCTTGGTGTGACCTCTTTAAAATTTACATTACTTTTTGAATAAAATTCTTCCCTGATAGTCCATGTCTTTCAGAAAAGTTCAAACTCCTGACTTAATACATAAAATCTAATTGATGTGGTCACGCTAAGCCCTTTTCCTTATGTGCCATTCTAAACTACCTAGACTTTCACAAATAGATTGTGAGACTTAAAATCTCAATACTTTCATACATACACTGCTACTGTACCCTAAAGTTATTATCTCTTCTTAGTACATCTAAATTAATTCATACTGGTCTTATAACAGTACCCCAAGAATAATTTCTTTTAAAATGTTAGAGCTGATATACTTGTCCTTTGAGATTCCAGTAGTACACTGAAGGGTGCCCTTAATCTAGTATTTATCATTTTACATTATGGTCATTACTTTGCTTATGCTTGTCCTACTAGATTGTAAACCCCCTTGGGGATAGTAATCATATCTAACTTTTATGACTTTGGTGTCTAGTACAGTGTCTGACATGGGGTAATTATTACATCAGTATGTGTAGGCTGGCTGTCTTAATTACCTTCTTATCACTAGGACAAAATACCCCACACTCACAACTTAAAGGAGCATTTGGTTTATCTCATGTTTTAGAAATTTCAGTCTTTGGATAGTCTGCTAGCTCCAGGTAGAAGCAGCATGGTTGGCAGCATGGTAGAAGGATTTGGGTGGAAGAAAGCTGCTCATGTTCTTCCACAAGCCTCACCTAAGAACACATGAGGCTTTGGGAGGGTGTTCAAATATGAACCATGGCATTCTATCCCTAGCCCTCAAAAAACTCATATGTATTTGTCTTAGTTACTTTCTTGTTGACGCAATACCTGACACCCAAAGTTTAAAGGAGGAAAGGTTTATTGTGGCTCACAGTTTGTAGAGGTTTCAGTTTGTAGTCAGCTGGTTCCAAGGCATGGCAGCATAACAGAGGAGAAAAAGCTCACAGCATGGCAGGCAAAGAGCAGAGTGGCAGTATATGTCCTTCAGGCCCCACCCACAAGGACTCACCTCTTCTTAACAGGCTTTGCCTCCTAACATCACACCCAGTTATAAACTCACCTGTAGATTAATTTAGTGTCACACACTTGTAATCCAGTATCACACACCCACGCTTCAGTCACTTCCGCAAACCCCCACCTATGAGCTCATGAGGCTTTGGGAGGACATCTAGATTTAAGCTATAATATTCTGTCCCTGACCCCCAAAAGATTCATGTACATCCTTTTATGCAAAATGCATTTAGTTTGTCTCTAAGTGTTGCCAAAGTTCTAAATTTCAGCATTGCTGAAAAGTCTAAGTCTAAATTCTCCTCTGAGACTTAAGGCAGACTCTTAGTTGTGAGTGCTTATAAAAATGAAAAGAAAGTCAAACACTTCCAACATACAATGGCACAAGATAAGCATTCGTATCCTGAAAGGTGCAAATAGGGGAACAGAAAGGAATGGTACCAAAGCAAGACTAAAATCTATGTGCATCCATTTATGTAAAATACATTTAGTTAATCTTTAAGAATTGTCAAAGTACTACCAGTTCCAGCATTGCTGAGGTCTGACTAGACTCTCCCATCAAGGTCAGCTCACAACATTCTAAACCTGCTTCCCAGCCTGCATCTCTAAACCTTTCCAAACTCTTCCTGCAATCCAGTTCCAAACGTTTCTGAACCACACAGTCATGTAGTGTCTCAGGAAAGATCCACTTCTCTGGTATCAAAATCTATCTGAGTCACTTCCCTGTGGCTGAGACACTGAATGTGAGATTTATTTAGCAGCAACTGATATAGTTCTTATATTTTAACACTTTTGTGTTAAAATATTTTAGCATAGACAATGCAAATAGTATGAATGTGCTATTTAGCTCAACTATATAGCTTGTGTCCCTGTAGTCAACTATAGGGGCAGTAAAGTACTCTAATGAAGAATTCAGTTTTAGTTAGGGAAAATAAACTTTAGTGATCTATTCAC